TTCTACAACTTCTTCAACAGTGTGTTTGCGTTTACTAGAGGATTGTTCAAACTGCTTTTGATGTGCGTGAATAGCTTCATCAGTAGTAATATGAGATTATATGTATTGGATTAGACCATTTTAAGACCATATTGTCTCACACATTAATGATGAATAAAAGAGCTCAAGATGTAATACTCCTAGGAAAAATGCCCCATAGTAACTATGGATCCTCTCTTGGAATTTAACTCGATGGAGGACCATTGAAAATATTCTTTAAGCGACTCCCTTCACTTCAATGAATTCTAGAAAGACGTGAAGAGTCTTTGAAAATCCTTCATTTTTATATAAATTGCTTAAAATAGAGTTTGAAAAGTTCATCAAAACTATGAATAGTTTCTCTTGGTAGTGAATAGAATCAAGTGCATGCTTAAACTTTAAGAGTGGTAGGAAAAACATGACAGAGAAGTGCATCAGTGACTCATTGTATGTACATGATGGTTCTATAATGATCAATATATTCATATGGGTTAGAAGTCTCATCATAAGATTCAATGCCTTGAAGCTTGAATCAATTGGAATAATGTGTTGGAGGACCATATCGGCCAATGGTGAAGGCACATAAAAACTATGATGACTAAGAAAATGACTTCTATCTTTAAAAGATCTATTTTTGAACCATACATCATAGCTCATCATAGATTACATGATGTGATTGGGGCTAAGTTATCCAAGAGTGATAGAGGGTTGCAATTTTTTTCAACTGCACAAGATGAACTTGTGAAATTAGTAATATCTAGAAAATCAACTTTCTGACCTATTTGAGGAAGAACACCAACGTGAAGAGGTGCCATCGGTAGAGCATCCCTTACTTGGGAATCTTTTGAGTTATGACTGATCTTAGGGTAGATGAACCTCACCTACTAGTGTTACTATTGGTTAGTGAGTTTCACATAAGAGCTAAAGAATCTCATTTTGAGATTCCACCATTCTTTGCATCCAGATCTCAAGGGGCAAAGAGGATACATTTTAACCAAAAGGATGTGTGTATTCTTGAGAATTGGAGTAGAGGCTTGACAACCAGACTTCAAGATTATCAAGTAAAAAGACATATGTTAGAGCAAAAATCTTGCGCATTGCACCTATTATTCATTGAAGAAATGTGAAATTCTATCAACAAAACTTTGCTTCCATAGACAATGTCTAATCGTTATGTGCCAAGAGATTCGTGATGATAAAGTAATAGTTCAGAGTCTTAGCGTTGTATGTTGACCTCACACACATACATAATTTGTAAGTAGAAGAAGTAGACATCAATGTTTTTGAAGTGGAAAAACCTATAAAGGGAACAAAACATAAAACCTAGCCCTGTCAAAGTAATTCATTATGAGTGTGTAACTACAAAGATACAAAATTGTCACATTGATGTGTCTTAAATGTGTGAAATATTTAGTTATATTTTCTTTCATTTTTTTTTGAAATTTATATCATTTTAAAGTTTTTTTTTCCAATTTCTCTCATGTTAAATTGCACATTAAAGGACTTGAAGCAAGTAAAAGAACTACATTTGAAATTTAGCCCACTAGCATGTTAGTGCCACAATGCACCTCACATTCCTTTTCACACCATATTTCTACCAATAAAGTGGCACCATGACACCAAAATAGTGATGTTAAGGAGGCATTAAAGAGCACCCCCAGGTGCCATACATAAAATCTGATGCCTTGGTGCCACTTCTTCTGATGCCAAGATGCCACACATAGGCGCAAAGGCGCTCGACTTAGTGGCACCAAGGCGCCACCAATGGGATTCTGAAGTAATACAAACATAAAGAGAGCAAGACTATGACACTCCATAGAGGAACTTAGATGCTGGTGAACTGTTAAGGAGTTACAATAGTTCTTGGACTATGTGGTATTCCTTAAATTTAAAAGAATGAAATTTGAAGCTAGAAAATTTATTTTCCTCCACCATTTTCTTTGAAGCTCTCAACCCTTGGAGTGACATTGAGTGAAGAAGACATATAATGGAGGAAGTCATCGGAGAGCTATCGTAATTGTCAATCAGTATCTTTCAGAGGGGTCCTTAGAAGGGGTTGAGAGTTTGTGATAGTTCTCCAAAGAGAGAATTTTTGTGTGATTATTATACTCAGAAGCGTGAAATGTCATAGATTGAGTGATAAGTTTGTGTAATTTGGGGAAGAACGCAGGCGAGATCGCTCTAAACTTTGTTTACTTGGAATTTATGATAGAATTTCTATTTTTTCATCTTTTATGTGTATGGTTTAATTATTTTCTTTCCCAAAATATATTTTATGCAAATTAGAATTTTCTTTGTTATGTGATTGTGTAATTTGGTTCTTAAGATTGATATTTTAACCTTTTGAATTTAATTTATTGTTGAATTGATCACTAAAGAAGTTAAAATGGGTTGTGATATAGTACTATGAGAGTAGGTCTGTGGAACAATTAGATTAACCTACACCAATCTAAGAGAATACAAATATTTTTGTTTGGAAGGTGCAATCATATAGGGAAAATTGTAGCACTATAGTTTTGCATGACTAAGAGACTAATTGTAATATGAAATTCTAATTTTCCTCTGAACATTAAGAGGGAATAAGAAAAATTATTGTTATTGATTGTCAATTTTATTAGAATTACTTAGATCTAATTTACAGAGAAAAAATTAAGAGGAGACTTTATTTCACTTGTTCAACCTCAAAACTAGTTATAGGATTTATTTTTTTATAAAAGTTAGGATTAGAAACTTTTAAATCACCAAATTTGAAATTTCAGTGTAGATTTATAACCAACAAGCTCGAAATTTTCCATCTTTGGAAGTTCACTGGTTTCTCGTGGGATTGATATGCATAATCAACTTCATATACAACTTGGCCGACATGTATACTTGCATGCATCACTGAAGCTTCATAGCATTTCATTCATATCATGTTTTGGGCATCATTGATAGGGAACAATATTGAATGTCTAATTTAAAAAAAAAATATTTAAATTGTTAGGGTTTAGATTTAAAGTTGTTGTGTAATATTTCTTTTGCAGCTTATGTGATATTTTCTTTGTTATAAAATCCTTTTTTTGTGATTCCTATTTTTATTTTCTTCATCTTCTATTTTACTTCATTTTTTTTGGTGAATATTACTTATGTTTTTTTTTTGGCTAGTTTTGGGTCTTACAACTCCTAGTTTCAGGCGTTTATTTATAGGATTGAACAAGTAGAACTAGTGCCTTACGACTCTAAATTAGATAGAAACGTAAAAGAAAATAATAATAAAAAAAAAACTTAAAAGACTAAAAACTAATTTTGAATGGATGACAAACCCTTGCGAAGAGAATATCATGCCCGAGCCATTTAGAAAATTTGTTAGTTCCATTAAGATGAAAGCCATAAGAGTATTAATAACCTTACCATTTATACTAACATGTTTGAACTCAAATATGTCATCATTCAGATGATCCAAAATAATCAATTTGAAGGCTCACTTATAGAAGACCCGATCTCCATATTTTTATATGTAACATTTAGATAACTCTTTGTTCTTATTTCAAAGACATAATACAAAAAATAAAAGAAATAAGAAGTGGCCTCAAACGGTCCCTAAGTTATTATAGATTTTTTTTTCTTATTATTTAGTTATTCTTAATTGTAAAATTCTAACACATTCATGAATTAAATTGAATCCAACCAATATCATTAATATTAAATTATTTTTAAATATTACAAGCATGCTTTTACACAACTACTGATAATTTTAAAAAGGAAAATTTACATACGCCGCACTCAAATCTTATGTTTTTAACTATCTCGTACATAAACTCAAGTTTTATAAAGCACCTTACCTATACATAAAAAGATGTATTTCACTGTTCCCACTATGAGAAAAGTGTAATTTAGGTGCTTCGCCCGTAGAATTTAAACTTTAGGTGTGTGATAGGTAAATACATAAGATTTGGGTGCCGCCTATGTAAATTTCTCTTTAAGAGAAAATATATATAAGTAATATTTTTTTTGGAGCAACATAAATATAAAATTTAACATAGTAAGGCTCTCCATTTCATTTTTAATCAATATATTATAAATTCAACCACATGCGCCCACACACACTAATCAAGTATCGAAGACATTTAACATAAATGTATTACTCAAAATTAACAGTTCTTTCTCTTTGAGAAGAAATTTTTACATATAGAGCATGTACGCAGCACTATGTGCGGACTACAATAATATGTCGCCATGTGTGTTATATCGGACCCACCTCTCGCGGAGATTATTGAAATGAAACCGCGAATGTTATTGAGAGGATAATTGGAGGTTATTGGAACATTAATTCTAATAATGCTGCAATAATCTGTCAATAACCTCCCAATAATCCCCGGTGTTACACTCTAAATAACCTCTCAATAACTTTCGAGGTTACACTCCGCAATAATCTCATATTAACACACCAATAACCTCATAATATTCTCCGCCCCCTTGCATAACCCCTCCAATAACCTCATAATAATATACTAATAACCCTTCAATAATCTCCGCGGTTTCACTTTAACAACCTCCCAATAACCTCCAAGTGACGACATATTACTGAATGTCCGCATGTAGAACTGCATAAGTTCTTCGTATTTAATTGTTTCTTTCTTGGAGAGCTTCAATCTGAAAAAAATATTTACGTATGGAGTGCACACGCAGAACTGCATGCATATAAGGGTTATTCGAGAGGTATTAGAGAGTTATGCTGGTGTTATTGGAGTTAATACCCCAAATAATATAAAAAAAACATCTGAATAACAACAAAAAATATGAGCGCAAAACCGCATAATGTATTCATATGTTATTGGGGGGTTATTGAGAGGTTATACTCTAATAACTTCTCAATAACCTCCAATAATTGAGCTATTCAAAATTTTTTTGAAAAAATAAGAATATATGTGTACTCCTTGAGTAAATAATACTCCCCAATATAAGTATCGGTTCTTCCCACTCGTGACTCGTTCCTCTTATCCTCTCTTACACTAGAAGCGCCGGCCAACCAGTCTCTCACGTGCTCTCCCCCATTATTAAGGATTTGTTTGCGTTCTTTCTCTCTCATGTGCTCTCCCGTTCGATAGGGATTTCTTTGCACTTTTCCACAAGGTTTCTTCCTTGTTTTTCTCAACCAAAAAAAAAAAAAAAAGTTTATTCCTTGTCCTCCCAAATTTTAACTTTTTCCTTCCCTCTCTGTTTGATATTTGATTCAAGGGCGGTTCTTTCAGCTTCTCACCAGCCTAATACTTCCTACTAGATCACTCCTCTGCTATAATAATCTTGGTCCGCCATGGCTAGGAGAAGCGGCTGATACCTTCTGATCGATAAGTGTAGTCCTAAATAGCTGTTTCGGAATAAGAAGCGAGCGGCACGATGGACAAGTACGAGGTCGTAAAGGAACTCGGGTCCGGTAACTTCGGCGTGGCGAGGCTGCTGCGGCACAAGGAGACGAAGGAGCTCGTCGCCATGAAGTACATACCGAGAGGTCAGAAGGTAAGTTAGCATCATCATTTTCTCGGGTTCTGTTGCCGCGATCTTACTCCTTTTCTCATTCAATCTTAGATCGACGAGAACGTTGCGAGGGAGATCATCAATCACCGCTCCCTCCGCCATCCTAACATTATTCGATTCAAAGAGGTAGGATCCCTCTTTAAAGTCTTAATTTCCGGTGACGCAGTATCTCTATTTCGCCTCAAATCGCGTAGATTTTTGTTTTTTGGTAGGTAGTGTTGACGACGACGCACCTTGCGATCGTCATGGAGTACGCCGCCGGTGGAGAGCTCTTCGAGCGGATCTGCAACGCCGGGAGATTCAGCGAGGACGAAGTATTCGACAAAATTGCCACATATTGTCCTAATTTTTAAATCTAAACATCAGTTATTCTTTATTATTCACGTTGCTTTGTTGCTTTATATTTAGGCAAGATATTTCTTCCAGCAACTCATTTCTGGCGTCAGCTACTGCCACTTCTTGGTAAATTTCTCCTTAAAAATGATAAAAAAATCAGTGTTTGTCAGAATAGTTAAAATATTTAAAGTTGGCTGATTCAGCAAATATGCCACCGGGATCTCAAGCTTGAGAACACTCTTCTCGATGGAAATCCAGCGCCGCTGCTCAAAATTTGTGATTTTGGCTACTCCAAGGTCTTAAAAATTATGTTTTTGTAGTTTTGCTATCGAATTTCGCTAGGGATTTGAGCAAAACAAACTTTTTTTTGTGAGCAGTCGTCCCTACTGCACTCAAAGCCTAAATCCACAGTTGGCACGCCGGCGTACATTGCACCAGAGGTCCTCTCTCGCCGGGAGTATGATGGCAAGGTGAGCGAAGGAATTTATAAAAATTATTAGTTTTTTTTGCTTTTTGCCCCCCCCCCCCCGATTGCTCATTTGGTTGCTTCTAAATATATATATTTTTAAATAAAATTATTATATATAAGGCGCTTTTAATATTACTTTTGAAGAGGCATGCCAATTTCCTTGATTTTTTTGGTGCTAGATAATGTAAATATATAAGAATCGTGTGGTATGTATGTAAATGAACCTTTTTTAATATATTTTGTAACCTTAAACAATCACCTGAGCTTCATAGGATTTGTGGTTTAACACACTTCTGGATCTGGTGAAGAGCTGGCACGTGTGATCCGCTGCTGATTGATGTGTGACACGAGTGAGGCCTTTTTATCTGCCGGGTTCATTGCTTGCGGAGCTCGTGTTCTGAATATTAATCCCGTCGTGTTTTCCATCATGGGTCCGCTAAAGCTGTTTTGTACCGAAGTAGACTCGCTTTGTCCGTCAGCTGAGATGGTGATTGATGTGAAGAAAATATATATTTTTCATTAATTAGAAATGAATAATATTTTTAATTCGATCATTTGATAATTGGTCAGTCTATCTGATTTTAAGCACTGGTATCATAATTAATGCGTTTAGCTACCTGGATTTGAAAATGTCAAAAGTTATTTATTGCTTGATGGTTAATGTATGATTTTGAACTTTTCATAATCATAAACTGTTTATCACAAAACTTCACGAAGAAAAGTCCTTTTAGGCAAAACTGTGCTGCTGCTGTTTCTGGCTGGTCCTATTGAAATTATTCACAAAAGAACATTATGCTAATGTAACATTTCATGTGAGGTGGTGTTTGTCTGCAACTTAAATTTACGTTAAATAGGTTTTATTAAATCCAGTGAATTTGATAATCTGTGCGGCGGAGATGAGCTTGTGATTGATGACAGAAATAAATTCTTAATCCGTCTCGCAATTCGATTTACTAAATCTAGATTTATGTCTGTTATTTTGACCCCCAATTGATGAACTAAAGTAAAAGAGCACTTTTGTAATGTGGTACCGCTCACCTACCACATCTCACCTACCGTTCACCTACCGCTCACCTACCGCTCACCTACCTCCCACCTACTACTCTCTTGCTTCTATAAATAGAGAGGGTGTGAGGCTTAGGAGAGCAAGAGAAGATATCTTAAGCTACCACGAAAGAGGAGAGAATAGCTAGAGAGCTAGAGAGGAGGAGAGCATCTCGAGGCCTTGTATCAAGGTGTCGCTTGAGAGGGAGGTCATAGAAAGAAGATGAGGGCTCATCTCTATGTATAAGCTATGTATTCTCCATTTCTTTTGCCTTAGTGAACTATTTGATTGATTCTATTTGATTGATTCTGATTCCCTTCCGTGGACGTAGATCCAGTTGGATCGAACCATGTAAATGGTGAAGGTGTTCGCGGCCAGTGACGAAGAAGAGGAGTTTGACATTCACGAACAGAGGAGCAAGCGGATCGTGTCGCAGGAAGCAGGTAGCCGAATCGTGACAGATTCAGTGAGCAGTGAAAGCTTTGATCGACTGTATTCGCACTGCAGGTTGTGCGGTTTGGCGAGATGGAGGAACAGTCATCGAGCGAGGGCCGAAAATTTGCGACAGGGCTGCCAGCAGATGAATTCGGTCTTGCC